AGGGCTGAATGATGTAAATAGTGAAAGGATCTCTCTCAGCTTTGGAGAAAGTCCCTCCACAATCCCCACCCTCACCTTTCTTAAAGGTAGGAAATGGGGTGGGGAAAGGGGGAAATTAGGAGGTAGAGAAACCATAAAGGCCAAGAGATAAAAGTAAGAGACTGTAAAGAACGACGTCTCCAAATTGTAAAAGGACCCAGGGACCAAAAATGCATGCTAAAGGGGAGGAGAAATCCCTGCAGCCTCGCTTGTAGAAGTAGGGTACAGGAGCGGACCTCCACCTAGTCTCTCTGGGGAGAGGAAGCAAAAGTAGTCAAGGCACCAAAAAGAGGATCAGGGCGTGGACACCAGGTCCCCCTGGCCAATCAGTGGTTGTTGGTAACCTGGGAAGGACAAGCAAAGGCCGTATTCTTTAAAAGCCTCAGCGTCCACGTCTGAAAAACAGGGTAGTCACAAGTCCAGTATCTACACTTGGGGGTTCTAGAGAGATCTCGATCTGGTGAGCTAATGAGAATCACTTTGTAAACTCTCAAGCCCTACTGGAATGCGGTTAATTATTACTGTGAGCCAAGAAGAGCCCGCGCGCTTCTGGCCCCAGCCCGCTCCCGGCGAAGCGCACAACCTCGCTGGCGAGGTGCCGGCTGCGGAGACCACAGGGAGACGTTTCCTCCCAGCACCCGTCTCTGGTGCCACCGTCCCTCCGTGGGATCCGGCTTCGACACCGGCGGGACTCACGAAAGAAAATGGTTTCTACTCAATGTCTGGTTAAGCCCAGTTAGCTCATCTTTAAAATGGGGGCACACCTCTCAAAGTTTTGAACCTGTCTGGTTCCTGGCTCATCCAAGTGCTCATAGAACATGGATCCATCTCCTTTACTCCCTAAGAAGAGACCCCGGGGAACAGTTAAACAAAAACCAAGTGGCAGGAGCGCAGGACCGAGGGCTGTAGAAACCGACCACCAAGCGACCCCGTAAACCCAGCTGGGTTTGGCTCTAGAGCTGAACAATCTGTAAGGCGAGGGAGTCTCAGACACACACAGCGCGGTTATTATCCAGAGGGTGTCTTGGATGCGGACGGTGCGCCAAATGCCCCGGGCACCAAAGGGTCCAGAGGCGCTGGGCTTACTTTCCCGGGAGTGGAGCGCACGCAGAAGGGTCTCGGTATCCCCAGCCGGGAACACCGTGACCCGCTCACTCCAGTACCCCGCGCCACCGTCTACCCCTGCCCCGGCCCAGGGGCGCACTCACTGGGCGGCGGCGAATATCGGCCGGATTCCTGCATCCACGCGGCTCCATCTTCTGCGTTTTCCGACTTGACCGAGGCAGTTTCGAAGGGCTTGACCAGCGGCCCAGGGCTGTGCGCTTCCCGAGCGCCGTGCCCCGGCAGCAGCAGTGGCCGCAGTGGGGCCCCGGCCGAGGCGCTTTCCGCCGGCCGCGGGGACGCCTCCTTGGGCGGCTTCTTGTCGGACATGAGCGCCTCCACGCTGAAGGGCAGGCTGGAGACCTTGACGCGGCGCTCCTCCGCGGCCCCTTCGGCGCCCCCAGGCCCGGGGCCCGGCCCGGCCACCACCGCTGGGCCCTCCTCGTCGGACGAAAACAGGTCATTGCCTTTGGATGGAGAAGCCATGACTTCTCTGCCCTACGTAGCTCCCAACGCGCGACTCCGCTGGCAACCCGGCAGCGGCGACTCAAACTTTTTTGCGGGGGAGACGGGAGGGGCGCGCTGGGAGCCGAGCCTTTCCTCCGAGGGGAAGTGGGAGACGCGCGCAGCCAATCCGCGCCGGCTCTGGCGCTGACGCCAGAGACGCTCGTCTCCGATTGGCTCTTCCGGAAGGGGCTGGGCCCTCCTTTCTTTCTTTTCTTTCTTTCTTTTTTTTTTTTTTCTGTTTGAAATAAATTAGGAGTTAATTACAGGAGCAGTCAGCAGAGTTGTTATTAGGCGATCCCTGAAGGGTTATAATCACGCCGAAACTGAAAAGCCCGAGACCTAATTAAGAACGATTATTTAAAGAGGAAGTTCGCCGAATCCCATTTCTTCTCTTTTGACCCTTCTTTAAAAGGGACCCCGCGCCCAACCCACTCTCCCTCTACCGCCAGAATACGTCAAAGATCCGCAAACGGCACTGCAGAAACATTTATGAAGTCCCTACTATGCGTCAGAACTGGCTTACTTTACAACTTCAGAGAGTCGGTGCTGAAACTCACAGGCCAGTATCCCTGTGAAAATAAATGTAGGCACTTGGAAGAGTATCTCGCCACTAGCCAGCGCTCGACAGCGTCCGCTCTTATTTTCATAACTCTTTTCCCTGGAAAAGAGGGGCCGGAAGGAGCCCGAGAATTGGTCAGGGTGCCTCTCTCCCAAATAGTTCGGAGTGGAGAATTTAAATTAGTTGTCCCCATCTCTCACTAGAAAACAAATCCAGCGCACTTTAAAAAAGTTGAAACCTCTGTGTTTGTCTCCTGAATCTCCTTTCTGAGCGAGATCTGGCTGGATCCGATCTTTTTCTCAAGACAGTACAAATCTGCGTTCGTGAGTTTGTTCGAGCCGGTGTTTGTCGTTTGTGTTTGAATGCCAGTGTTTGCCTTGGAGGGTAATGGGGGGGGATGAGGGGGATGGGGGGAGGAAAAGTCGCCAATATCTAGTGCCTCCCTCCAGTTTGCAAGTCTCAGAAATACCGACTTCCAAGTTTGCACACCCTAGGCCTACAAACCATTTTGGGAAGCATATTTTTATTCATGGCACCTGGTTTTTTATAAAAGCATACATGTCTCCATCCCACCCCAAATTATACCTTCGGTAATTCCTTCCCAAAGCCTTAGTGATGACTCTCAGCCTGGGGAAGGGGAGAGCAAGCGTCGAGGCACAGAGACCCTGGATCTCTCCACGGGTCCGCAGAAACGCCTGGCCTAAAACGATAGCTTCAGACGACTCTTTCCAGGTTACTGCTGTCTTTTCCTATGTCTGAACGATTATCCCGCGACGGACGAGGTAAATAGGAAGTTAGCCGGCTCAGGACCTCGCCGACAGCAGATGCTTGGTAAACATTCCCTAGAGTATTGGAGGGAAGAGACATTGTTTTTTAATTCTTTAAATGACCAAGGCTTGGAGGCTACCTCCCAGTTCAGGAGTATTAGAAACTTGACCCCTAGACCTACAGACCCTTAAACTCTTCCCAGTGTAGTCTCTGAGGCACTGTTTCCTTCACCCCAAACCTTTCCCTGAAGTGAAACTGTGCTGGCCCGGAAAGAACTGGAAAAAGTATTAGAGGATTAAAAACAGTCTGCACAGGCCAGTTAATTCGGTTTGATTAAAGATGATCCTGAAAAAGTAGAAAAGTAAATAAGTCCTAAACATAGTCTTCTAAAACTTATGAGTTTCTCTCCCACTATAAAAAATATGCATACTTTTTCTTAACCAACTGGAGGCAAAAATAAACAAATAAACTATAAAAACTATCTGGAGATGTATGCATTTTCCCCTTGAGTCATACTTGGTGATAGTTGGTTTGATATGCATCTCAAATACAGTACAGGTAAATCCAGATTAAGTTCTGTGCCTTCTAGATGAACAAGGCAAGGTGCAGGTTATATATTTTGGAAGCAAATCTGAAATTCGTTTAGCTCTCAGCTGCCAAAGTTTACAGAAGGGTTCAACTTTCAGTTAGGCTGAACGCAGCCAATGTTTTATAATTATTCCTGAAAACTCCTTGTTAATATCTGTCAGCTATAGGACACAGAGGCTCATTCCATTGAAATTCGAAACAAAAATCAATACCACTGGAACTCCTTTATTTTAATGAACTTCTCTGGGAAAGGAAAGCCAGATCCCCTTTACTACTCTGGAACACTACAGTTCAGGCTGAGACAAATAAATTATAAAGCCAGGAAGAGGAAAGCAGGAATAAAAAATAACTGGTGTTCAAAATCAGAGTGCCAAGCTCTGACCATGAATAGGAAAGATGCTGAGATCGGAACCAACCTGCTCCTGGGTTCTCTGCCAGTTCCCTTCCCAACTCTCTATTGAGTGGACACAAATCGGGAAAGGGGCTCACTTCTGGGAAAAGGCTGGAACCGCACCACAATTCTACCCCTTTATGGAAAGCCGCAAGTCTGCATTTGCTCCATCCTTGGCTACTTTTTCAGAACGTTTTATTCACCTTTTTCTGGCGGAGTGACCTTGGGCATTCTAAATTGCTTCCTCCGGCCAGCATTTTATTAATATTCAAAATGAGAGATAATAATCCCTAATTCAATACGGTACCTAAAGTCACTAGAAGGCACTGGAAATCCATTTTAAAAACCTTATGTATATCAAAAGCAATCACTATGTATCGAATGCTTTCTCCCTGCCAAGTATCGAAAAATAAGGTGCATCGCCCGCTTTCACAGAGTTTACGGTAGGTTCTTTCTAAAATTCCCTGGGCTGAGAATTTGGCTCGGTCTGAGAAGTGTCCTGGTTTGGGGGACTCATTTAGCGGAGGATTGGCTTTGTCACGTAGGAGGCACTCAGTAAATGTATGCGTAGCTGTTATATTTGCTAGCGAAAAGTGAGGTTCCAATCGGAACACAGCCACCAGGAAGCGTCAACTCTTAAGGATGCTTTAGTGCCTGGACCTATTCAGGATCTTACTTATTTCTTCAACACACCACTGCTAGCAGATTATTTTCTCCATTTCACAGATGAAAGCCTAATGCTGGGAAGCACTCATACTTGCCCAAGGTCGCGCAGGTAGAAGTGGGAGACCTGGGAATCCCCCCGCGCGGCTGAGGCCTCAGAGCGCAGATCCTCAACCCTGCCCCTTCCCGCGCCTCCCAGGGCGTGTTACATTGGCCAGGCCTTTTCTTGAAGCAACCGCGTTAAGCGCGCCGCGAGTCCCGAGGAGAAAACACTCCTTGCAAACTGTGACGCGCTGCGCGCAGACCTCAGCGTTTGTAACCCCGAGGGCCGAACGCTGGATCCCGGCGGCTAGAAAGGGACGGGGGAAGGGCAGCGAAGGGGGCTGTAGACGGGCCTTGGCTTCGGGCAGGCGCCAGGCGCGGGGAGATGAAAGGCGGGCTCCGGGGGAAGGGGCTGCGCCGGGTGACCGGCTCCAGCCGCGCCGGGCGCCCCGCCTCCGCCCTGCCCCGCCCCCGCTGCCCGGGGCAGAGGCGGCTGCCCGCGCCGGAGCCGCGTTAATTGCTCTCGGCCCCGGCACTCAGCCTGCGCGGAGCCGGGACAACTTCGCTCCAGGAGGAATGACAATTCGCCCTAATGGGACAACCTAGCTCCCAGAAGAGTGACAATTCCTCCTAATGGGCGCTCGTTAGCGGCCTATTCTACCCAGCCAGGGTATCAGAAGCGGAGAGACACGCGGGCGCCAACAACAGCCAGGAATTCCAAAATACCGGTCACCGCCCCCCACCCCAGACATTTGCTGTGTGACTTAGGCCAAAAGGCTGCTCCTCTCTGAGCTCATTTTTTCTTACCGTTGTGTTGCGGAGTGGGAACGGGTCGGTCTCCTGGTGTTTAGAGAGATCACTTTCCGAGTTACACAGCCGTGGAAGTCGGGTAGGCAGGTATTGGGGTAAACAGCTGGAGGTTTTGGGGGTACAAATGCCTTGCTTGCAAGTTCTGCAAGCCCAAGCTGGTTCTTTCCTGTTCTCCTGTTCCGCCCCGCCCACTAAGGTCCTGAATCGGGACTGATTCCTGAAGACCCCCGCCAAGCCCTCCACAGCCAAAGCCTGCGTTTTCTCCCCATTCCACAGATGAAGTCGTCCAGGCGCAGAGAGCAGTGAGGCTGGCCTGACTTCAGCAGTGGTAAAGCCTAATTCCCCACCATGCCCGTGGAAGACCATCACAAGGATGAGGGTAGTGGAGCTAGTGGTAAAAGAAGCTGCATCTCCTGCGGGTCCCACAGCCTGGAAAGAGGGTGGCGAGTTGTTGGGGACAGCTAGTTCCTGGAGGCAGCAGGTGTGAGGGGAGGAGTTGTGGGTCCGCCTTCTTTAGTTCTGTATTCAAATCCAGACCCTACTTCTCACCGTTTTCCACCATCACCTTGCTAGGTCTTGGTTTCCCTTTTCCGAAAATGGGGATGCTAATGCCCAGTCCACGGGGTTGCTGGTGAGAACTAGGTGAAAAGCCTTACAAAATACCGAGGAGCACCGAGTGTGCTGAAAGCAGGGACTGACCCGGGAGCCTCTGTTCTCCTAGAGCTGAACTGGCTTTAAGTAAGGTTGAACCATGCATTTCCTGTGAGACTCTGGATAAATCACTTCACTTTTCTGCGCTGCAGATTCCGCATCTCTAACATGAGAGTGCCTAGTATTCAGTTAATATTGGATATTATTATCATTTAAGTCATTATCGATGTTACTTTTTTTTTGAGACAGAGTTTCACTCTTGTTACCCAGGCTGGAGTGCAATGGCGCAATCTCGGCTCACCGCAACCTCCGCCTCCTGGGTTCAGGCAATTCTCCTGCCTCAGCCTCCTGAGTAGCTGGAATTACAGGCACGCACCACCGTGCCCAGCTAATTTTTTGTATTTTTAGTAGAGACGGGGTTTCACCACGTTGACCAGGATGGTCTTGATTTGTTGACCTCGTGATCCACCCGCCTCGGCCTCCTAAAGTGCTGGGATTACAGGCGTGAGCCCGATGTTACTTTCTACTTCCCTTTCCAATAGATCTTCCTGGGCATCGTGCACATTTGAAATCGAATGATCCAATATTGGATGATTTGAGGCAAGGGACTTTCTGGAGCCTCTTTTTTTTTTTTTTTTTCTTCTGTAAAATGGGAATGACTACTCACCTTTTGAGAAGGAAGCAGATTGGCAGATCTATCTAGGGAGAGGTGGGGATTAAGGGAAGAAGAAACTGCTTAGGTTTAGACAAACAGCAGGTATTGTCTCCTGTCTCCCAGCCTCTGGGCATGGATCACTGGCCTCTTCCCAACCCCTGTCTGATTGGAGGAAAGGTCTCAGGAGCAGGGCCCAGGCTGGTTTGTCTGCAGAGAAAGACTCAAAGGGCTCCCTGGAAGAGGTGGTTTCAGGAAGCAGGGTGGCTGCAGCCCTAGGGAACTAGCCAGGTCACCCAGGAGGACACCTAGGTGATCTTGCTCTGCCTTTCACAAATCTCTGCCCTCCCCCACCCCTTCAGTTTACCCATCTGTAAAACTAGAATAACTACCTATACAGGACTGAGCAGAGGTGAGGTTTTAATCAAGGTTCAATAACCGTCAGCTGTCTCCCACTTACCCCTCAAGCAATCCTTTGATGTTTGGGCCCTTATTCCTCCTGAAGGAAGAAAGAATTGAAGCTTAAGGCCTGATAAGGTTTTCCTCACAACTAGAAAATACCTGGCAAAGATGCAAATAAGGATTTGGCTGATTCTAAAATTTATGTATTTTGCCTGCAGCAGAAGTTGCTGTAAATGTGAGAGGGAAGGCATCTGGAATTGCTCACAGCAATAAAGTATCTACTATTTCCATTTTCTTCCAACTTGACAGATGGGCTGTTGAGTCTGGGATGGGCTTAATCACTAGCATGGACACACACGCAGATTGCTGTCAGCCCTAGCACTCTAGATTATGGCAAAGGGTATTCTGGATTATGGATTCCAAATAGTTTAACAGAAATCTCAAATCTGTCTTATTTGGTGGTCTCCAAGCTGTTTCAGCTTCAGAATGCAACAGACTACACGTGGAGAGGATGGGAAGAGGATGTTTGAGGGGTTACTTAATAGGCATAATTATGTTTTTTAATTAAGACAGATAATCTCTTCCAGTTGCTCCACCCGCTTCTTCTAGTTGCCTGGTGGGGAATGAGCAGGGTTTGCTTTATTTGGAGGATAAAGACAATTAGAAGCAATTATTCTAAGTGTTGTTAGTCATTTTGGGGTGAGGAGTTGGGGTGTTGGAGCTGAGCGCCAGGTTTGTGCCAGCTTTTGGAGGGAGCTGCTGGTCACCATCTGCAGGAAGACCTCTTGCCTTGGTAATCAGAAAACAGTGCATCTTAGCTTTACTTATTTGCAATGCTTTCACATCCAGAACCTCACTGGTTATGGGGAGTGTGAATTTCCCTCCTCCCTTTCTGCCTCTACCCCTTCCTGTCTATCACCCCATTTCACCGCCTAGGTGAAATGTAGGTCTGGAAGGGGAGGCCAGTTGCCAGAGGTCACAGAGGGAGTTCGGTAGAAGAGCGCATCACATTGTTTAGGTTTGGCTGAAATGCCCTGCGTCTTATAGGGGCCCACACTGGTGTGGAGACCATGCCTTTTGGGGCCTGGCTCCATAAAGACCTGATTTGGGGGCCCCAGGATTTGTCATGGGTTCATAGCGCTGTGTCCAGTGCCCAGAAGAGCCTCTGGCATGGTAAGGGGCTCAATAACTATTTGTTGAATAAATGAATAAATCCAGGTGGTGTTGGAGCCTGCAGGGTGACTCACTGAAAGGTTGCCTTCACCAGTGACTCGGAATGAACCGTGAATTATGAGGGCTGCTCTCACAATTGTAGCTAGTGCTGGTTTGGATTTTTGCAGGGCAGGGGCAGAATTTCAAACTGTCCACGGGAAAACTGAGTGTTAATTCCACCCCAGACCCAGAAAGTCACTAGACTTGCAATTAATTGTCGCATTTCTCCATAACGAAATTACTCATTTCACAGATGGTCAAGAAGTGGGGAGGTTGTGCTTACCCAAGGTTTTGTAGCAACTAGATGTTTCAGTCAGCATATGACCACAGGTGAATCTGACTCCAGACCCCTAACTGATTTCTCTCCATCATCCCTAAGATTGAATTTCTCTTATCCTTGGCTAAAATCAGCCAGAGACGGGCTAGGTGCAGTGGCTTATGCCTGTAATTCTAGCACTTTAGGAAACCAAGGCGGGTGGATCACCTGAGGTCAGGAGTTCGAGACCAGCCTGGCCAATATGGTGAAACCCCCTCTCTACTAAAAATACAAAAAATTAGCTAAGTGTGATGACAGGTGCCTGTAATCCCAGCTACTTAGGAGGCTGAGGCAGGAGGCTCACGTGAATCCAAGAGGTGGAGGTTGCAGTGAGCAGAGATCCCACCATTGCACTCCAGGCAATAAGAGTGAAACTCCATCTCAAAATAATAATAATAATAATAATAATAATACTATAAAATCAGCCAGAGAAACTGGACATCATGCTGTTATCTTCGCCCATTCGCTTTAGTAATATCTTCATCTTGCCACATGTCTTTCTATATGAAGGTGTGTTTCTTTCTTTTTTTTTTTTTTTTTTGAGATGGAATCTTGCTCTGTCTTCCAGGCTGGAGTGCAATGGCACAGTTTTTGGCTCACCATAACCTCCACCTCCCAGGTTCAAGTGATTCTCCTGCCTCAGCCTCCCGAGTAGCTGGAATTACAGGTGCCATGATCCGCTAATTTTTCTATTTGTAGTAGAGATGGGGTTTCACCATGTTGGTAAGGCTGATTTCTAACTCCTAACCTTATGATCCGCTTGCCTTGGCCTCCCAAAGTACTGGGATTACAGGCGTGAGCCACCGTCCATGGCGAAGATGTGTTTCTACAACGAAAAAAAAGACTCAAATGTATTTAGAATTTTTTTTTTTTTTTTGAAACGAAGTCTCGCTCTGTCACCCAGGCTGGAGTGCAGTGGCACAACCTCGGCTCACTCACTGCAACCTCTGCCTCCTGGGTTCAAGCGATTCTCCTACCTCAGCCTCCAGAGTAGCTGGGATTACAGCACCCACCACCACACCTTGCTAATTTTTGTATCATTAGTAGAGACAGGTTTCACCATGTTGGCCAGACTGGTCTTGAACCCCTGACCTCATGATCTGCCCACTTTGGCTTCCCAAAGTGCTGAGATTACAGGTGAGAGACACTGCATCCGGCCCAAACTGGGACTTTTTCTCTTTGTCACCTTTCCACAGTTTTTTGTTTTTTGCAAATTCATGGTTTTTGCCAATGAATTTGCAAGTCTTTGTGGAGAAGATAGGGAAAGTGAAGGGAAAGGACCTAGACGCACACCCCCACCTACTCACATCCACCCCCACTGCCAAGAAGGAAGGGTTCTGATCTCCACATCACTCCCTTTTGGGGTGACTTTGAGTAGATCTTTCTGCCCTCTGAGTTCCTCATCTCCCTCACTAGCAAAAGGAGGGGGTTTAGTTGCATTTCATGTCTGCTCTGGTTCTATAGTGGTTCTATGATTAAAAAAAAAAAAAAAAAAGAAGTGGGTGAGGCCAGGCATGGTGGTTCACGCCTGTAATCCCTGCACTTTGTGAGGCTGAGGCAGGCAGATCACCTGAGGTCAGGAGTTTGAGATCAGCCTGGCTAATATGGTGAAACCCTGTCTCTAAAAAACAAAAAATTAGCTGGGCATAGTGACCTGTGCTTGTAATCCCAGCTACTGGAGAGGCTGAGGAGGAGAATCGCTCGAAGCCGGGAGGCGAGGTTGCAGTGAGCCGAGATCGTGCCACTGCACTCCAACCTAGGTGACAGGGAGGCTCTGTCTCCAAAAAAAAAAAAAGGAGTGGGTGAAAAATACAGCCCCTGTTCCTGTCTACCACCAGGCTGACTGAGATTTCCAGTTGGATGGAAGGATCATAGGAGTCAGGCTGGGGAGGTTGGAACCCCAATTTTTTTTTAATTTTTGTTTTGTGCCCAAATTTTATCCTGTGTCCAGTGTGACTTGCAATTCCCCCCACCTCTCTGAGTAGGACCACATTCTCTGCATTAGAAAATGGGGGCCACTGGCTGGTCTCGGTGGCTCACGCCGGTAATCCCAACACTCTACAAGGCCGAGGCGGGCTGATCACCTGAGGTTGAGAGTTGAGACCAGCCTGACCAACATGGTGAAACCCCATCTTTAAAAAAAAAGAAAAGAAAAGAAAATGGGGCCACTAATCTCTATTTCAGGGGTTGAGAAGAATTAAATGGGATCATGGATACAAAATGCAAGGAACATAATTTCTTCTGTTTCCTGTTGCAGCTCTCTCATTTGAGAAAGGAGGGAAGTTTTGACTCAGCGGATGGGAAGACTGGGAGGAAACCAGATGGATCATTCATTGTTAATGACAAAATTAGAGCCAATGCTGTTGGTGTGGACAGTTGCAAAGAGGCTTATGAAAATTACACTGCCAAAAATCCTCAGGGCCTTTTGGGCAGCACAAGAAAGCTTTGCCCAAGTGGTGGCACCAGCTTTTCCCAGGAAAATGATTTTGGAGAGTCTCGGGACAGGGTATGAAGTAGCATTTAAGCATGAGACGACGAAGGGATTTCATTTTCAACGTCTCTTAATCCTTCCACTTTACTCGGGAGACTGCCTCAGTACAACTTTAACACCACGAAAATAATCGCCAGTGTCCCTGGGGCCAAAGCACCCGGTTTCAACCTTCAGGAAACCACAGCACCAAGCCAGAAAATAACCACACAGTGTTGCTTTCGCTTTACTCGTTTTCAGAGTTAACCTGGCTAAGGTTGTTAAGTAATACCATGGCAAATTTCAGGTTACAAATTATTGAGTGTTAAAATGAGAATTTATTTTAAGTTAAACATTAACTAAATAATAGCACTGTTGGTCCTCGGATAAAGCCCACAATCAGAATGATTGTTCTTAAGAACAATTGCAGAGGTGGATGCCTGAAATTGGGGTTAACACTGATTTAGAGTAGCGACACTGCATTGCCAACAGCACAGAATCTGGGTGGAATCCTGCCCCACCTCCTTCCAGATGAGTGGCCTTGGGCAAGTTACTTCCCCTCTCTGAACCTTGGATCCCTTATCTATAAAACTATGAGGGTTGTGATTATTCTGACCTCCAAGGTTTGAAGGAAGAATTTACTGTGGAGATAATAGAGGACCACATTATGATGATGATGATGGAGATAATAGAAGCCTCCACATTTTCCTGGATGCTTGGAGTTGTTAGTATCATTAGTAAACAGTGAATTGGTGAATTTGGTCAAAACACAAACTTATTTACACTGAACCTAGTTATCTACTAGCTGAGTAGTACTTGCAAAAGAGGGGAGGAAAACATCACTATATCCTTTGTTTCACTGGCTCATCTTTAGGGCCTGGATATGGAGACTGCCATTCCCCTAGCAGGCATTTTTACATTATCCATAGAACATCTATACTGTGTGGTCAAATTAAGATACACCTAAACTGCAGGCCAGGCATGGTGGCTCATGCCTGTAATCCCAGCACTTTGGGAGGCCAAGGTGGCAGTACCACTTGAGGCCAGGATTTCATTGAGACCAGCCTGATCAATGCAATGAGACCTCCTCTTTACAATAAATAAAACAATCAGCCAGGTGCGGTGGCAAGCGTCTGTGACCCCAGGACTTTGGAGGCTGAGTGAAAGGATCACTTGAGCCCAGAAGTTTGAGGCTATAGTGAGCTATGATTGCACCACTCCCCTCCAGCCTGGGCAACAGAGAACTTGTCTCAACAAAAACCCCAATGAACAAAAGGCCAGTTGCAGTGGGTCATGCCTGTAATCCCAACACTTCAGGAAGCCGAAGTGGGTGGATCATTTGAGACCAAGAGTTCAAGTACAGCCTGGATAACACAGCAAAACCCCATCTTTACAAAAAATACAAAAACTAGCCAGGTGTGGTGGCACATGCCTGTAGTCCAGCAGTTTGGGAGCCTGAGGCATGAAAATTGCTTGAACCCAGGAGGTGAAGGCTGCAATGAGCCTAGATAGTGCCACTGCACTCCAGCCTGGGTGACAAAGTGAGACTCTGTTGCTAAAACAAACAAAAACACAAAACACAATACATGTAAGTTGCAAACAAGATGGAAAAACATTTTTACTTTTACTTTTCATAAATGATTAAACGCATTGCCTGATGGGCCCTTTTCCCCCTTTCTTTCATCCTCCCTGCTGTTTCCCACATTTCTTCCCTCCTTCCTTCAGTATCTGTGTGCTGGGTTGGCGCTAAACCTAGAATGCAAAGACTACCCAGACAGGTTCTTGCCCTAAACAGTCTTCCACTCCGGTGGAAAGACAGATCTATCAAGTACCCAGTTACCCAATACCGATGTTAAAAGACTGCTCCAGGCTGGGCGCGGTGGCTCACACCTGTAATCCCAGCACTTTGGGAGGCTGAGGCGGGTGGATCATGAGGTAAGAGATTGAGACCATTCCCGGCTAACATGGTGAAACCCCGTCTCTACTAAAAATTACAAAACTTAGCTGGGTGTGGTGGCTCACGCCTGTAGTCCCAGCTACTCGGGAGGCTGAGGCAAAAGAATTGCTTGAACCCAGGAGGTGGAGGTTGCAGTGAGCTGAGATCACGCCACTGCACTCCAGCCTGGTGACAGAGCGAGACTCCGTCAAAAAAATAAATAAATAATGACTGCTCCAATGCCAGACTTATGTCGCAGAATTCGTTTCTTTCTTGCTCACCTGAAGAGAGTTTATTGAACATTTCAATAAGTTGCCAACAGTTAAAAATCAGGGGCTTCCCACAGAAATCTGGAATCCTGGCTTCTCTACATCAGTCTGAAGGAGGGTGGCCCTGGGCTCTCCAGGGCAGGTTCTCTAGGTGGAACCTGCAGACTCTAGTGGCCACCACCCAGGCATTTGAAAGTGCAGCCCCTGCAGCAGGGTACAGTGGAATGTGACACCAAAGGGTGTAGGGTATGTGGGAGCCTGGAGTGGGACTGATGGCCCCTGGGAGGCAGGGGAACGCTGTTTGGAGGAGGTGGCATTTGGGCCAAACTTTGAAGGAATTTGGCAGGTTGAGAAGGAGGAGGTGGTTTCTGGCAGAGGGATCAGGAGATAAGAAAGCAAGAGAATTGAAATGACCTCGTCTGTGTATTTGGGTGCTAGGCAGAAGTGGGGAGTCGGGGCACAAGCAGGCTGAGAGGACAGGTGGAGCAGGGAGCCAGGCCTTGGAAAGCTGTGGTGAGACCGTGAAGGGTTTTTTCTTTCTTCTTTCCCTCCCCCTCCCTTCCCTTCTCTGCTGTTTACTTTTCTTCTTTCTTTTCTTTTTTCTGTCATCCTATCTTAAATGACTCTTAGAATTTCAAAAGCAGTATGTGTTCACTATGACCAGTGAAACAAATCAAAGACATGAAAGCAATGAATAATCTCCCTCATCTTCTCTTCATTCTGCCACCCAACATAACTAGTATTAACAGTCTTGGCTGGTCTTGGCTGGGTGGGGTCACTCATGCTGGTAATCTCAGCACTTTGGGAGGCTGAGGCAGGAGGATCTCTTGAATTCAGGAGTTTGAGAACAGCCCGGGTAACAGAGGGAGACCCCTGTCTCTACAAAAAAACATAATTAGCTGGGCGCCATGGCTCACACCTATAATCCCAGTACTTTGGGAAGACAAGGCAGGTGGATCATGAGGTCAGGAGTTCAAGACCAGCCTGGCCAAGATGGTGAAACTTGGTCTACTAAAAATACAAAAATTAGCCCAGTGTGGTGGCAGGCACCTGTAATTTCAGCTTCTTGGGAGTCTGAGGCAGAGAACTGCTTTAACCAGAAGTTGGAGGTTGCAGTGAGCCGATATCACGCCACTGCACTCTTGTCTGGGCAGCAGAGTGAGACTCCATCTCAAAAGTAAGTCAATAAATTAAAAAAATAATTTTTAAAATTAGCCAGGTGTCTGCAGTCTCTGCTACTAGGGAGGCTGAGGTGGGAGGATAGCTTGAGCCCAGGAGTTCAAGGTTATAGTGAACTATGGTTGTGCCATTGTACTCCAGCTTGGGCAAAAGAGTGAGACCCTGTCTTTAAAAAAAAAAAAAAAGCAATCTCATGTGTATCATTATATGTTCATCTCTGTATATAAACACAAAATAGCAGATATAAATTCTGAAAGGTGGGAATTGATGGTGTCTTTGTGCGTTTGTGTACCTGCATGTGTGACATGTGACTATTTACCTACCTGTACTACTTGCTTTTCTTGTTTAACTCATATCCTAGACATTTTATCCTGTCAATCAATTATAACCCAATCCATTCTTTTTATATTCCATAGTAGTGTCATATTGCTATGCATTTAACCATTTCCTCTTATTGATGAACATTATTGTATTTTTTGTCCAAATTGTTACTGCCAACAACAATTCTTGAAAGAAAACTTTGCTAACTTTCATAATTAGACTCTTATTTATTTATTTTTTAAAGATGGAGTTTTGCTCTTGTTGCCCAGGCTGGAGTGCAATGGCACGATCTCGGCTTACTGTGACCTCCACCTCCTGGGTTCAAGCGGTTCTCCTGCCTCAACCTCCCAAGTAGCTGGGAATACAAGTGTGCACCACCATGCTCGGCTAATTCTTTTGGTATTTTTAGTAGAGATGGGGTTTCACCATGCTGGCCAGGCTGGTCTCGAACTCCTGATCTCAGGTGATCTACCCACCTTGGCCTCCCAAAGTGCTAGGATTACAAGTGTGAGCCACCATGCTGAGCCACACTCTTATTTTTAAAGTTTAATTTTCAAAGCTGAGATTGCCAGAGCCAGATGTGTGTATTTTTAACCTGAGTGGGCACGGCTGGATGACTTCCTAAAAACCCTGCTCCACTGCACATGCTGACTCCCAGTGTTGTTTCCCCCCTCTCTGCCCCCACTGGAGATCATTGCTCTGTTTTAACTTCTGCCATAGATGGTTTTGAGCAGGGGAGCAATAGAGTTCTACCATACCTCTTTAAGAAACTACCTGAGGGTGGGGCATGGCAGCTCACCCCTGTAGTCCCAACACTTTGGGAGGCCAAGGCGGGCAGATCATTTGAGGTCAGGAGTTCAAGACCAACCTGACCAACATGGAGAAACCCCGTTTCTACAAAAAATACAAAAAAAATATCCGGATGTGGTGGTGGTTGCCTGTAGTCCCATCTACTCGGGAGGCTGAGGCAGGAGAATCACTTGGACCCGGGAGGCAGAGGTTGCTCTGAGCCAAGATCATGCCATTGCACTCCAGCCTGGGCAACGGAGTGAGACTCTGTCTCCCACCACCACCCCCCAAAAAAGAGAAAATAAACTATCTGGAGAAGCATTAGGGAAACTACTAAAAGCAAAAAGAGGAGGTTGCTGCAAGTCTCCTGAAATTGCTGACAAGTCTGGAAGAAAGGAGTGGCATCGGAAATGGAGAGGCAGGGAGGAAACTGAGTGACCTCTGGAACACATAGAGATGGTACCTAACATGTCCCCAGACTAGGGGGAGGCTGCTCTGGCATTGCAGGTCTGATTGCATGGTAAAGGGATGGGGAGTGGCCTCTCCTCATGCTATCTTCATGGTACTCATGCTCTTCCCTTGCCACCCAAAAGTTCTGTCCTCAGAGTTCCTTTTTTTTTTTTTTGAGACAGGGTCCTGCTCTATCACCCAGGCTGGCTTCCAGTGGCACAATCTTGGCTCACTGCAAACTCCACTTCCCAGGTTCAAGCAATTCTCCTGCCTCAGCCTCCCTAGTAGCTGGGATTACAGGCATGCAACACCACACCCAGCTAATTTTTATATTTTTAGTAGAGACGGGGTTTTACCATGTTGGTCAGTCTGGTCTCAAACTCCTGATCTCAAGTGATCTGCCCGTTTCGGCCTCCCAAAGTGCTGGGATTACAGGCATGAGCCACCAAGTTCGGCCCAGAGTTCACTTTCAGTAGCCCCACACACCTGAGTCCTGGGTCGAGGCAGCAGTCGACTTAGAACAGAAGAGCTGTGTTGCTCCATCCACTCTGGGTCTGGGTAAGAGGGCAGGGGAGGGAGGGCAGACAGATGTACCACTATGCAGGAAAAGCCTCGGACACAGCCTTGCCAATGGAATCCCTGGGGACTTCACAAGGCAGCTGGATAATTAACTGTGTTGTTTCATGTAATCCTCACTGATTTGCTTTCTAACCGATACAGCATTTGGCAATGAGTGTGTTAGAAGCAGCAGCAGCAACGGAATTCCCAAGGTTTGAATTCCTACAAAAGGGCCAGGTAGGACACACTGCTGATACTAAGGTTAGAGTTCCTATTAATGCTCATGGGAACCTTTGAGAGTTTCTTTCCAGCTCTCTTTGCCCTCTATCTTTTCCTGTTTCCCTCTCTTTCTTAATTCCTCTGGTTCTATCCTTCTCCTCAACCTGTAGAAAAGATTTATTTCCCCACAGCCCTCTGTAATTTCTTTGAGCTCTTGGAAAGTCCTGAAGCCCAGGTTTGGGGTCATCTTTTTCTGAAGGATTTCTCCAGACTCTGTGGGAAGCTGAGGCAGCTCTTTAGGGCCTTGGGAGAACAAGAGATTGCCATCAGTACAGAACAACCTGTCCAGCCAGCATGTTTGCTCCACCCTTAAATGGACCAAGAGAGTATGGTAAGTTTCCGTGACAATGGATCCCTCTGACTTCATAATCAGCCCCATTCTCAATGGAGCAGCATATGGGCAGCTTGGACCCAATCACTGATAGTTCTACTCTTGGCATGAGCTCAGAACTGATTCTTGAACAGTCACATGGATCTCCAAACTCATGGACAATCAAATTGAAGAATTTAGTAATAGCAAACCTGGGCATTAAAATGTGAGAGGTGGAATGGAAATTAATGACCCATTCTGCCTTTGTCAATAGGTCCTCAAATAAAAAATATTTAGGTCTTCTCTTGGAAGAAAAATACATTTGCTAGCTTATTAGTTCTTACCTGGACATCGCTGCCATGGGAAGACTACACACCTCAGAGTCAGACAGAAATGTGGGGCTGTGTGGCCTTGGTTAAGTCACTCAACCTCTCTGATCCTCATTGTTCTTGTCTTTAGAATGGGAGGTAATCACACTAAGCTTGAAGAGTTGTTGGGGATATTAGTGATAAACTCAGCAAACATTTGCCTGTTTGGGCACATAGTAGGCATTTTAATAAATGGCAGCAGCTGGGTGTGGTGGCTCATGCCTGTAATCCAAGCACTTTGGAGGCCAAGGCTGGTGGATCACCTGAGGTCAGGAGTTCAAGACCAGCCTGACCAACATGGTGAAACCCCATCTTTAAAAATATATATATATAAAAATAAGTGGCAGCAGAGGTTTCTGAAAACTATTGACTGAAATGACTAACAGAGACCAGCTGACTATTTGAGGAGGAGGAGGAGGGGTGATGGGAATTGTTTCTCGGCTCCCACCCTACTTCATTTCTGAGGCTGGCTATCGGTTACCTAGGCGATCCAGCACAATGCAACCTGAGTGCCGGCAAGAACAGTGCGCAGCTGTCCCGGCTCCTGCGCTTCGTTCACGGCTCAGGATGAAGCCAACTTGGCCATGTGTTGACATCAGCAATAAGTCAGCTCTTGCCACTGGCAGAGGCTGCTGGGGCCAGAGATGAAACTCCCACGGTGAGAGGGAACTCAGAACCAGTTTGTATCATATTAAAAATAAATAAATAATAAATGAATTTTTAAAAAGTTTAAATACAGCAACAACAACAACAACAACAAAACCTTAAAAAAACAAAAGTGGGTTGGTGTCCAGGGCAGGGGAG